GTCCTTGGGTTGTGTATATATGCATATAAATTCTTTGGTTATTCTCTCCCCCTCCACCCACCCTCATCATTGGTGTTTCTATCTCTCTCCCTCTCCCTCCCTCTCTCTGAAATCAATTTTTTTTTAAATACTGAATTTTTTTAAAAAAGAAAGAAAATGCGAACAACGGGGTTTGTTGTCCCCCTGGGTGATGCTCTGGGGCTCAGTGATTCAGAACTGGACTGGTAGGTCAGCGTCAGGGAACACGGTGTCTTTGCCAGAATGGCAGTTTACTGGGAGCTTTGGTAGGGAGAATCCTGGGGGCCAGTTAGTGGAAGTCTCTGGTTCATGTTTCAGATTTAGTTTGGAATCAGATTTTTTTGTTGTTTTGCTTGTTTGTTGGATAGGCCAGTGTATGCCTACAGAGACGCATGAGGCTGGAGCTTTGGAGACCCAGGGACCCAGGACAGTAGGTTGAGGCTCAGATATTGACTGTTGGGAACAAACTAGATGATACCTTCCTCCAACTGGTCAAAATCCGTTTTACCTCTTCCTCAAGGAACTAATTAAAACCCTTTTTGTCTTCTCATGTGAATACTCTAGTCATTATCTACCTGACAAAGTAGTTAGGTATTATCTAGTGTGTGTCATAGAAGATGCACTTTGTGCTTTTTGCCTCCAGGATTCCTCCACAGTTTCCTTGGCTATTTCCTTTCACATTCATTTTACAAAGTAATGATCTCTATTATCTCTCGAACTACCTTAATAGAGATCAGCGAAAACCATTGTGTGGGTGTGTTGTTGTTTTTTAAGATTTTTAATTGATTTTTAGAGAGAGAAGAAGGGAAAGGGAGAGAGAGAGAAACAACAATGTGAGATTATCTGAGATGATTGGCTGCCTCCTGCATGCCGCCTATTGGGTCTGGAGCCCACAACCTGGGTATTTGTCCTGAGCAGGAATCGAACTGGTGACCCCTTAATTCATGGGACAACACTCGACCAACAGAGCCACACCAGCCACAGCAGATTTTCTTTTTATATATATATACATATATATATATATACTTCTTGATTTCAGAGAGAGGACGGGAGAGGGAGAAAGAGAAACATCAATGATGAGAGAGTCATTGATCGGCTGCCTCCTGCACGGCCTCAACTGGGGATCAAGCCCACAACCCGGGCATGTGCCCTGACCGGGAGTCAAACCGCAATCTCTCGATCCCAGGTCAATGTTCAACAGCTGAGCTACACCTGGCCCGGCAGATTCCCTTCTTTTTTACAGCCAAGTATTATTCTATTGTGAAAATGTACCACAGCTGTTTTATCTACTCATCGACACTTGGGCTGCTTCCAAATCTTAGTTATTATAAATAACGCTGCAATGAACATAGAGATGTATATATTCTTTCAAATTAGTGTTTCAGGTTTCTTTGGATAAAATACTAAGTAGAATTGCTGGGTTATAAGGCAGTAATATTTTTAGGTTTTTTTGAGGTAACCATGCTGCTTTCCACAGTGACTGCACCAATCTGCATTCCCACCCAGTGCACGAAGGTTCCCTTTTCTCCACATCCTTGCCAGTACTTGTTTGTTGATTTATTTTTTAAAATTTGTCTTTATTGTTGAAACTATTGCAGATATGCTGTTTTTCTCGCCATTAACTTCCTCCCTCCCATTCCACACCCCCCAGGCATTTACTGCCTTATTGTTTGTGACCACAGATGTTTAACACATTTTCCTTTAAATTACGAAATATTGCAGAATGTTACATATCTTGATACCATTTAGAATCATAAACACAAAATGCCATCTAATTTCCTAATGTTTTGATGAAAAATCATATTAAAAAGTCTGTAATGGTACAGGCCTAAGTCAGAATACATGTCTCACACCATATTTTCTAAACCCATCTGCCACTTACCTTTCCTCACTGTTTCCCATGAACTTCCTGTCCCCATTAGAACTTTTGTTTCCATGACTGCACCATTATATCCCTCAGTCCCAGTATCTTGCCTACCTTAACTCCCTGCACACTCTGCACACTTGCACTTGAATACTTAACCAACATTTCGTCTCAATTTAAAAATTTTACCAAAAAGTAAATGTAGAGGACTCTGTTGACCATTGAATGGTCTTTTTTTTTTTTTTTTTTTAATATATCTTTATTGATTTCAGAGAGAGGAAAGGAGATGGAGAGAGAGAGAGAAACATCAATGATGAGAGTCATTGATCGACTGCAGCCCGCAACCCTGGCATGTGCCCTGACCGGGAATCGAACCCTGATCTCCTGGATCCTAGGTCGATGCTCATCTGCTGAGCCACACCCGGCTGGGCATCACTGAATGGTCTTAAGTAAGTGGCATTGGCTTCTCAGTACTTAGGAAAATGGAAGAATCTACCTGTTAAACTGTGTGATCCCGGCACTTTATAGGAAAGGGATTTTTTAGAACCTTCTGTCTTCTGTGGATATTTGTTCTATCTCTGCTTCTGATCACTATTGGGGAGTCAATATGTGTAACGTCTATTTTGCCACAAAATTTTTTTATAAGTTGACATTGACGTGAGCAGATAGGCTCAGCAATATGTAATGTACATTATTGACACCTTGGTTTTCCAGTTACTTGTCTCTCTTTTTAAATCCTGCTAAGATAATTTGACTGTTTATTTCTTTGCTCCATACATCAGAAATGTTGCTGCTCATTTGTATGAAGATTAGGAAAGAACTCACTGTGCGTAGAACCTCTCAATGAAGCAGAACACACAGTGAGACACGCAGACTCAACCCAGTTCCTCAGGGGTCAGAACTCAGCACTTTCTTCTGTCCTCCATGGGAGATCCTGTCTTCTTCCAGCAATCACGGGGTGGAGGGAGCTTCTCATAAACAGTCCAATTATCTCCTAAGAAATGCTGTCAAGAAACTTCGAGCTGTTCTTGATAATTCCAACTGGGAAGAAAGTTTTCAGAAATATCCTCAGCTCCCAAGCGTGTTAGTGCCAGTGCTGCTACAGGTGAAGTGATAATTGCAGTTCCCAGGGGAGTTGAAGTCACACATTCACAACCCATATCTCAGGGTCTGGCTGCCTCCCTCCCACTTTTACCGATGAGGTGCTGACTTCAGGATGACTTCAGCCTCTAGGCAGCAAGAAGTCCGTGGGTTTTCTCTTTGTCAATCTGAGAGGTAATGTCTGTAAGGGAAGGTGCTTTATCTGGAGTCTGGGCAAGTGCACATACTGGACAGAGGGGATCTTCTGTGAGTGAACCTGACCCAGCATCAAAGCCACAAAAAGAGGGGAAAGAATTCCTGAGGCTTGAGCTGAGCAGGTAAAAAAAGATGGTCCTAGACCTGCTCCAGGCCCTGACGGCTCCTGATGTGACCTAGTGTGGTCCTCACTGACAGTCATGGTTTTGTTTAGCAACCATGATCCTGGATTTGTAATGTGCTTAGGGCTGGAGTTCTGAAGTCAATCTCTTTTCAGCAAAATTTACAGAAATCACAGACAGAATTAGCAGGTTTCTAGAGATATGCTGTAATACCTGCATGCTTTTCAACCTATAGGAGTCATCGGACCCTGTGCAGAAAGTGTGTCTGAGAGCATTCGTTGAAGTAGAAATGTTTTCTCTAACTCTGGGTGTATATTGGGCTTCATAGATTCAATTATTGTGTCTCTATTGATTATGAAGAGATTATTCCCGCTTAAAATTAGGGAAGCAGCATTTAAGAGAAATATAACTTTATAAATTTCAATCATCACTTTCAGGCTCAGGTGTATCTTGTGATATTTCTGCTTGTTTAAAAGAGTACCAATTCAGAAAAACATGTTTATATAATATACAGTTTTTTGTCTTACCATTCATTTTCCATGTGTCTTGTATATTTAACACAAATGTAGCCTTACTGCTAATTATTTAATTTAACCTAGATCTTAATAGATATGTATATGATCTGAAGTTAGTAATAATTTTGATTGTACCATACACTGTTTATTAGGCATGAGATTTTTCTGTCCCATAGTTTTTATGATTCATATAATTGTACTTTTGTTCCTGGAATAAAACCTAATGATTGTTTCTGTGGCCATCCTAATATTGCCTGCTCATGAACTTGTGAGGGATAAAGAAGTTGCTGCATGTGTAGCCTTGATAGCAGTGATTCATATTTAAAAATTATTTTTTAATGGTTACAATTTCAACCCTCGGAAGCCTCTAAATGACAGAAAAACTTTAAGTCAGTATTTCAGTAAGAACTGCTGGTAAATGGAGAATATTGGGGTTCAGCTGACATGATGCGTGTGGCTTATGCCTCATATTCCCATGCAGGGTCCTCTCTAGCTCAGAAGAAAATATCGGTCACTGAGAACAGACAGCATGGCCACCAGGGATCTGGTCGTAGGAACAGTCTTCTTACTACACACTGTTATTGGAGTCCTGGGGAATTTCTCTCTGCTTTACCAGTATCTCTTCCTTCATCTTACTGGGTGCAGGCTGAGGCCCACAGATCTGATTATCAACAACTTGATCATGGCCAACTCCTCGGTTCTGTTTTCTAATGGACTCACCTTTACCATGACATCTTTTGGGTGGTATCACCATCTCACTGATTTTATGTGCAGATTTTATAACTATGTACGCGGAGTGGGCAGGGGTGTGTCCATTGGCACCACCTGCCTCCTCAGCATCTTCCAGGCCATCACCATCAGCCCCATGAACTCCAGGTGGGCAGAGCTTAAAGTGAAAGCTCCCAAGTATGTCACCCCTTTGATTTTCTTGTACTGGATCCTGGAAATGCTGGTAAATGTCATTTTTCTTATGTTTATGTCTAGCAGTTTGGGCATCAAAAACAACACAAATGTAAAAAGTTTTGGATACTGTTCTTCTGTTCGTCACAAGGAAACCGAAGACGCATTATATGCAGCACTGTTAACGTCCCCTGATGTTCTGTGTTTCGCGCTCATGCTCTGGGCCAGCGGCTTCATGGTCTTCATCCTGTACAGACACAAGCAGAGGGTCCAGCACATCCATAGGGCCTGCGTCTCCTCTGGATCCTCCCCTGAGTCCAGAGCTACCAAGTCCATCCTGCTCCTGGTGAGCACCTTTGTCTTTTTAAACACCCTTTCCACCATCTTTCATATTTTTTTAGCTACTTTAAATGATCCCGGCTGGTTCGTCTTGACCATCAGTGAAATATTCTCTCTGAGTTTCCCATCTCTCAGTCCCTTTCTGATCATGAGCCGTGACCACCGTTTCTCCAGGCTGAACTTTGCCTGGAAAAGGAATATGAAATCCTGTAACATTATGAGAAATATGTAAATTGTATGTATATGCACAATGTTCATTTGGTAATTCACTCATCCGCCTTAGAGTCCCAAGGACCTTTATGAGTGTCTTATCCCAGGATGCTAACGGACATGGCAAACATCTTCTTCTAAGTCAGCAATAACTTGGGATAGTAATTATAATTTAATGCCATGTAAAGATAACTGCCATGTAAATACTTATGCAACTGAAGTGTTCCTAATGTTTGTCGTGGAGGGGTTCAGAATTGATGCCATAATAAACATCAGGTTCTGAAACAACCTGGATATTATGTAGGAATCCCCGCATGTGCGACTTCAGTCTATCCCAGCACATCTGGAAATGAGTGAGGCCTGCAGTTGGACGAAAAGGTGCATGAATGAGGATGGGCCTGTGGCGGGCCACTGCTGAAGCTGAAGACGGCAGTGCTGGAGGGACATGTGGCACGTGAGGGGAGCCTGTGGAAGCCAGTTATGATCTTGTACTTAACACCGCTGGAGAGCCAGTGGTCATTTATTTGAAAAACGATCTTATAAAGGGATGACTTGTTCACACATATTCAAGTAGAAATGGCCAGATTTAACTGAAGTGGAGCAAAGGAGAGCATGAAATTACATTTTAGCTGATGTTTAAACTACATCATGGAAGTGTAACAATTTCAAAAGACGTGCATTGCTTGGCATTGGGACCTGGTGAAGGCCAACGTTTCTCATTTGTGAAGAGGGTTTGGGGCATGTTGGCCAAAAAGAGGTCTGGAGGTGCAGTCCGGACTTCAGGAGCTCAAAGTCCGATAACCAGGTGGCTAATCTATGATGTTACAAACAGCTCAGCCTGTTCCTGGGACAGGAGAATGGCCACCATTCCTGAGGCAAACTCCCAGAGGAAGGTCAGAGTCCAGGCACAGCAACCAAATCATAGCCTATCCTGTCCTTGGTCTGTTCTCAAAATGTACTTCTTTTCTGAGTGAGGCAGCTTATCTTTTCACAGCCTTGTTTCACCCTCCATTTCCCAGGGGTCTGTAAGGAAACTTATCTATAGTTAGTAAGGCGAATGCTTATTAAACATCAGTGGGTCTATTATTATTACATGCCTTTCCCCAAGATCACCTTATGGTGGAAATTTTAAGCTCACACTGTAGCCAAAGCCACTGGTACTAGGAACCCCAATCCTCTTGAAACCGGACACAGTGGGTTTGGGATGCCTGTTGCTACTTCAGCCAATTAAGAAGAGACAAGGTTGAAACATATTTGAACAGGGGGATTCGTTCACAGAAAATCTGCTCTAACCCAGACCCCCTAAGCCAGTTCCTTATGTTGGGTAGAAGGACAGATTACATGGGGAAGTGGGCAAAAGGAACAAGAATGGGAATAATGGTTTACCCGGCACAGGAAATGCAAATAGGGGCTGGGGGTTGCCAAAGAGTGGGGCGCCTCCAGGTGGAGGGGATGCTGGCTGGGGGTTTGCAATTTGGTGGGGTGCCTCTGGGACTCCTTTGTTTCTGCAATAAGGTTGTTAATCTTTCCATGATGATAGGCACTCCAAAATCAACTCCCATGTCCCTGGGCGTACAACTCCCAGCCAGATTAGAAAGTGCTTTTTCTAATTAGAACAATCACAGTTAACAGAACATGATTAATATTTCTTATATCTATAGCTAACAATCACGGTCTACAGAGCATGATTAATACTTCTGTCCCCAGTGCAGGGCCTGGTTCACTGGTGGTTTAAGCTGAAACCTAATGGTGTCCCGTGGGCCCTGTGGCTGTTTAGTCTCAGGGCCAGCTGTGCACTGAGATGTGGTTGTTCCCTTCACTGGTCAGCTCTCAGGCACCTGGACTGCTGCCAGTGGCCTAGCTGTTTAGTGTGCCGCTTGGAAAACTGCAGACTGGCAGATTAAGGACACCCCGCTTTGGGGCTGTGAACTGTGGACCCTAATTGCAGTGCTGAAATTGTCTGGATCACTCACTTAGATGCTCATGGTAAGGGTCTGTTCTTGGAGAATCTGGCCAGAATCAAGGGGCTGATTAAGCCTATTTCTGATGCAAAGGCTACCTCTGCATGGCACACTTGTGACTTTTTTGTTCAGCTTTTTTGTGATATAATTGACAAGTGAAATTTTAAGATATGTAAATTGAACACTTAAGTAGGAAAAACCGTAGTCTAGATGAGCAGGTGGGGTGGGGGTGTTCCTGGGAATATGAAGGTCGAGGATTGAATTATGCAACACTCCCCTCCCCCTTTTTTGGGAGTTTCCCAACTACATTGGGTAGAGGTTCTTTGGAAAAGATGCCTGGGCTAGTCAGACCTGTCGTACTCAGGATTGCCCTTCAAGTGGCAGAATAAAGGGGGAAGGAGCACCCTAGGTCTCCCCTTCTCATCTCCCAACTCCCTCAGCTAGGGTGGCCCTAAGATTGCGGTCGGTGGGCGGGAGGGGGCGGGCTGTGTTGAGTGAAGCTAGGAGCACAAATTAGTCTGTCCCGTCCCCGCTCCCAGTTTGTGGGAGGAGACAGGCTCCAAGGCAGTCACAGCCGCAGCTACTCGGATGTAAGTTTAAAGACAAAACAAAAGAGGAGGGATGATTTGTCTCTGGGGGATTGAGGGCTAAACCTGAAGATCTGAGACTTGAATACGAAAAGCTCTCCAAGTGGGAGGTAGGGTTTGGGCAAAGGCTGGTTGGCACGGAAAAGCCTCATGTGCTTGCTGCTCAGCCGGCTCTGATTTTCCAGGAGCGCCCAAGTGCGACGGGGGGGAGGTAGGAGATGTACCTAGAGAATCGGAAGCGCGGGGGTCTCGAAGACAAGCCCGAGCGGCTTGCTTAATCCAGGCACTAAGGCACGTCGCCACCCGTCTCTGGGCCTCGCCACAATACGGCATAAATCAAAAACGCATGCTCCACGCACAAAGGCGCAGCTGCCCCCCGGCAGCCAGCCCACGGCGCAGGCTCCACGAGCCTAAACCTGCAGGCGGCCTCGGTTCCCGGCGTGACAGCCCGCATTCCCAGAGACGCAGGCGCAGAAGCTCGGGGCAGGACTCGCAGAAGGGCAGGCGGCGACTCCTCCCAATCCCGCTAATCATTGGCTGGAAAGGACTGCTCATCTCGGCCGTTGTTAGTAGCGACGTAGGCGGGTGCAATGTTGGTCGCTGACATAGTACGTACTTCCGTTTCTGCCCCCGCTTTGGTTCCGGCAGGCCTTCGACCAATAGCAAGTGGGCAGTGGGCGGGACTTCATTTGTCCGGACCAAAGAAACACGGGCTCGGCCCAGCGTAGGGCGGGCAATGACCGAGGGGCAGCCCCTGTAAAGTGGCTCGGGCGGCCCCACGCTCGCCTTTCCTCCTCCTCCCGGCTCTGCCCCTCCCCAGCCAGGATTGTGCAAGGCGCTGGCCGCAGTCTGACAGGAACCAGACGGAGCCAAGATGGCGGCGGCTGACGGCGACGACTCTCTCTACCCCATCGCGGTGCTCATAGACGAGCTCCGCAACGAGGATGTTCAGGTCCGGAGGCCACGGGAGACTTGGGGGCGGCGGGCTGGCGGACCTGGGGGCACAGGGGCCCTCGCGGAGAAGGCTCGGTGTTCGCTGGGAGTGGCGGAAGGGGGCGGCGGCCAATCAGCGCCCAGCTCTCATCCCTCCGGGCCCTCGGGCTGGATGAGACGGCGCCCTGGATTGGGGGTGTGGGTGCAGCGGAGGGCGTGAG